ATATAAAAACCTTTACTGTTCATTTACCTCAGTGAGATCCATGAAAACGACATATGAAAGCAATAACATTATCATAATCATAGAATCATATAGACTTTATAACATAACACTTACCACACCTTTGCATTTCAATCATTAAACAACATATTTTCCTCATTTACCAGCCTACTAGTATCCATGGGGATCCATAGGGGGTCCCTGCTACCCGTGAACTATTAATATTTCAACCTGATTCCAGGGCCGTCCCCATACCCCGTCCGGTATGGGCGCCTAAACCATGAACTTCAATACTCCGTCCGGTATGTGGGTAAAACGGGCCGTCCTCATTCCCCGTTCGGTATGGGCGCCAAAACACATAAGATCTCCATACCCCGTCTGGTATAAGAGATCACGTTCCTGGTAGGGTTCCCTACGGACCTGGTCTGTCCACCATCTCTCAGGATATCTAGTCAGACTGTCCACATTATCCACTTATCAATTCACATAACCTTTTTGCCTTTTTTCGTAATCTCATTCATCCAATCATACAAAACATGTAAACCAGTAATTGACACCAAATAAGACAATACAGTACTAGTTTCACCATAATACAAACCATAATAAAAGAAATTATAGTTCATGCATACGAGACCATAACAAAATTACATCAAACATCATACTGCATTTAATACTGAAAATTAAATCAAACAATAACAGACCAACACTGTATCAAACTCGGGCTCTATTGGCAACCTTAATCAATTATACATCTATAAAGTCACACAGTACAGTTTAATTATTTATTTAGCTTTAATACCGTGATAGGAAATAGAGTGAGGGGTCCTTACTTGTTTCGGGGTCTGAATACGGCTCTACAGTACGCCTATAGGCTGTCCCTAATTTTTTTGAATTTTTTTTGAAAAACTGAAACGCACTACCGGTACCTGTACGTGTCCCAAAAAAATCCCAAATCAGACCTAGGGCCCCTTTCAGCCAATATCGGAATTTTGACACGGCGGCTCCGCCGTGCTCTGGCGACGGCGCCGCCGTAAGCGGCGGCGATTCACCTCGGGTTGGCTGTTTTCGACCGAATTCGGCCACACTTGCATCGGTCCCTGTGATAAAACAACCCTAGGCCCCTCGGTGGGCCAAAAAATCACGAAAAATCGAGACTTACCGGCGGCGGTGCTCTCGGGTGCGGCGGCTCCTCCGACGTGAGTCACGTTTTGATGTTTGGCTCAGATCAACCTGTAGAGAAAAGAACGGTAATCACAGTGGTATAAAATTTGCATCGAACGGAGGCCGGGAAAGGCCTCATCGGAGGCAAAAACCGAGGAGGGGCGCGGCTGCGCCGCTGGACTTCGGCTGGGTTTTTTGGCCGTTTGGCCGGTGGTTTGGCTCCAGTTTGGCCATAGGCGGACTAAGCATCGAAAAACGAGCAAGGGGGAGAAAATTTACCTCAATCGGCGGTCGAAAACTTCCCCAGTGCGTCGGCAGGTGGCGGCAGCCGGCTCCTCCAGCGTTTGGTTCTTCTTCTCCGGCGAGGCACTGACGGCTAGGGTTTTTGTGGTCAGGTGTGGGTGGGGTTATTTATACCCTTTGCCTTTTAATCTCAACCATCCATCAAGATTAATTATGGACCGTTCGATCACGATTTAATTGGGATTAAATCTGGGACGTCCATCGCTGGGCCGTCCATCGCGATGCAATCTGGGCCGTCCATGCGCGTGAATCTGGGCCGTCCGTGCGCACGTTTGATCTGGGTCGTCCGTGCGCGCGGGAACGAATCTGGGCCGTCCGATCACGCGCACGCGGATCGCCCTCGTGGCCCGTTCCCTGGTCAGCGTTGCCTTGCCACGCGGCGGGTCCTGGTTGGCCGAGACTACTGACCGAGCCGCTGACGTGGCTGCTGAGGTGGGTGCTGACGTGATACAATTTTTTTAAATTACGTTTTGACCTCCGGTTTCTGATTTTCTTTTCAAAAACACCCCCATAATCCAAATTTTCACCCCTTTTTCCCAAAATCAATTTCAATTAAATCCAAATAATATTTTTACCCAATTTTATCATTATTATTATTTTTATTTTCATTAAATTAAATTAATTAAAAATCAAATAAATAAAAATAAAAATAATAAAATAAAATTTTTATTTTACTTGGGTTTTACAGTGTATTTCACCTTTGAGGTTTCAACATTTTTATGGGACAAAAGAAGTTTTCACTAATATTGACATGAAATGGGTCGTGGAAGAAAAAAGGATGAGTAAATAAGGACACTCTATGTTGTCAAAGCTATGAAGTGTTTAATACTTCAAACATTTTTTTACGAGAGCTTTTGGGTTTTGCGTGAGACAAGAAACTTTCAGCAAAAAAGTTATGAAATGGGTTGTGGAGGAGGAATAATTGCAAAGCATGGTAGGAATTGAGGCAAAGAATGTTGCACCACACAAGGAAGCATTTTAAAAATTTGAAAAAAAGAATAAATTTAAAGTTAATTTTGATAAAGTAGAATGATCTGGTTTTCTCAATCCATACATTTCAAGAGGGGTGACCAAATTGATATTTTCCTAGTATGGTCTGATTTATATCAAACATGTCAATCATCTAATTTTTCGGTCCAACTAGTATTTGAACATCTCTAGTTTAAGTGGGGGCTGTAGTTATAAAGATAATAAGAATGATAGTGGTAACAACAACAAATGCAAAAGTGTTAATAATGGTGATGGCAATGAAAATAGGTTCGCAATGATAGTGAGTGCGAAAAAAGTAAAATGGTGGTAGAGATGAAAATAAGATGGTTTCAATGTAGGTTTTACCAAAATTGAACCTAACTTGGGTACATAATATATTATTCTGAAACTACTCCAAACTCGATATAGATTTGTAAATAACAGTTTTAGGCACCATGTGGATTTTTAGTGAAAGCTACCTTGCTCCATCATTAGTTAAGAAACAAAATCTTAATAAATAATAATTATTATAAAAATCCTATTATAATATAATAAATTCTAGTAGTAACTAGTAAAGGTTACGACAGATGATCCTACATCAAATATGTGGAAGTAAATGACATTAAAAAACCCACATAATATAGCATAAATAGTCCACTCTTGTTTTAAAAGAGTTGAAATGACTAATCAGATTATTGAGTTGCAAATAATGCTACCGAGCTAAATAAAAATTATCATCAAACTGCCAATGCTCATTTATATTAGATTGTAACACAAAAGAAAGAGATGTTGTAGTGTTTTTTTAATCATAAAGACAAATTTGTGAGTCAAAAAGGATAAGTTAAAGATCTAGAATGAGGAGGTCTGTAACTTTTTCCTTATATACAATCTTAGGAAGAACAATATTCTTACCTACTTTGCAATTTTCTCTCTTAAAATTTATTATAAAATTTCTTCTTTTGAAGAATAAAATTTTGTCAAAATAATAAAATAATAATAAACTTCAATAGATCCAACCTAATCTATATTACTCTAACAAAGCTACAAAGCCAAAGATGGAACAGTCTTTATCAAAGTTTTGAAACTGAAGATGCTGGAGTATGAATATGAAAGTGAAGAAAGGACATGACTGCCTTGTGAAGCTAAAGACGTTGAGTCACTCACTTTGTCATTGTTAGAATGTGAAGT